AGAGGGTCAGGATTACAAATTAGGTACTGCCAAAAGAAAGTGACAGATCTGATAACTGAATTATTCCTACAGAGCACAGAGGGAGCAAGAAAGCATGATTCTCAGAGGAAGAGAGGTCACAAAACTATCTCCATAGAGGGATAGTCTGGAGCTTGCAAAAGGACCAGCACATTTTCTAACTCCTTCTCCACCCCCTCCACCCTACTTTTAACTCCCCTCCAGCTTATAGAGAAAGTGTAGCCAATACTGGAAAGGATGTTGGAGACTGCTACCCATAGGAAGTGAGTGCCAAGAGATGGAAGGAACAGAAAGCAATAGGTTTAAGAGGGAAGAATGTTTGTTAATTATGGGTTACTCTGTAAGTTTCTGGACCAGGATTCAAACCTAGTCTTTCCTGACTCAAAGTCCACTGCTTTTTCCACTGTCTGAAATTACTAAAAGAAGGATAGTCAGTGGTGTCGAATTCTGCCTTTAAGAAAAACTATCAGACTAGTGCTTTAAACAGGTTGCTGTAATAGCTTTATGCCGATAAAATTAAGAATTTCAAAGAAATGGATAAATCATTCCAAAAATGTAAAATAGCCAAAGTCACAAAATAGGAAATTACAAATAAATCAGTTTCAAAAAAGAAATTAGATAAGCCAGTAAAGGAATTGTAAGGTAAAAATTCAAAAAGACAAACCTAATTCATAAGTGAATTCTTCCAGACCTTTATGAGGACTTTCTTCAGTTATATAAGCACTATCCTACTTTATTCTTTCTGTGAGGAAAATGTGACCTTGAAGCCTGGAAGAGATAAGGTATAAAAAGAAAAATACAGGCCAATATAATATTTTTTATATAAATAGTTTAAGTAACGTTCAAAAATATTAACATATAACAATGAAAAGCAAGTCAAATATGCAATGTAACATTAACGACTGTCAAAGCAAAAATATTAAATGAAAAATGGCAAACAGAATGGATTTCTATATTTAAAAAAAATCATTATGATCAAGGAAGGACAAATTACCAGGAATGAAAGAATTACTTGATATTAAACAAAGAGTATATATAATTCATATTCATAAGAATCATGAGATTATATCAGTAGATGTAGGTGTTGTGGTTGCATGGTGTGTTGTGGTAGTTGTCTTGAATGAATTTACAGACTCAGACCACTGCCAGTCCAAGCAAAAACATTTATTGAGAGTGACGCCCTTCAGAAGCAGGCTGAGTTCCAAGAGGAGCCAGCAACTTAGTGAGACAAGATGGGTATTTTATAGTGTGATGATGCTAATCATTACATAACAGAAATTATGAATATTAAAAAGGCAGTAGGGGGTTGTCAAGGGATTAGGTAACGGGGAGGGGCCCTAACCGCAATGGAACTGTGCATGCGATTACCCATAATGTGTGCAGAAAAATCAGAAGTGGGGGATTAATATATGATAATGATATTATAACAAGGTTCTCTACATCATAAGTTTACTCTAGGTCAGTTCTTTACTATTACTTAAGCGCAGGTGCCTACTTGGGGAAAGTCCCTTCTATTGTTTTGGGGTCCATATCCTGCTGGAACATCCTGGTGGTGCTGCTTTCCGATTGGCTGAGTATTGTGGTCCTGTCTAAGACTAGTTAATGAGTGTGGTTGTGGTTGAGTGCATGGACATACCTGCTGTTTCTGTGGGAAATAAGAGGAATGGTTCTGGGGGCAGTGGCTAGCTAGAGGCAGTGGCTGGCATTCCATCACATGGATACGCCTGCCGTCCTATTACGGCATGACTTCATGGACGTGCCTGCTGTTCTAGTGAGGCATGTGTGAGGAAGTTAGGATATTAAGACAGGATGGGAGGGGGCAGTAGCTAGGTAGGGGTTGTCCATTGAGGCCTATGGTTGAGTCTGGGGGCCTGTGGTGCGGTTAAAGCCACGTGTGGTCAAATCAGGAAATGCCTTCTGTTCAGTGAGGCCATAAGGAAGTTAGAATATTGGGGCTGGGGGCAGCTTTATTAGGATTCCATCACTGGCAAGGAAGGGAAAGGGAAGGAATAAATATTTAAGTACCTAGTATGTGCCAGGTACTGTGCTAAGTGCTTTGCAGATGTTGCCTCATTTGATCTCTTTACAGGCCTTTAATAATATGCATCATCCATTTAGGTCTAAAAGTACAACAAAAAATGAAGAAAAGACAGCATGGCATAGTAAATAAAGAGCAGGCCTCAGATGGCCTAGGTTCAAAATCTATTTTTTTTTTGTTGGCGTGGCAGTTGGGGTTAAGTGACTTTCCCAGGGTCACATAGCTAGTAAGTGTCAAGTGTCTGATCTGAGACTGGATTTGAACTCAGGTCCTCCTGACTCCAGGACTGGTATTCTATCTACTGTGCCACCTAGCTGCCCCTAAAATCTACCTTTGATAATGACTTTGTGCCCCCTGGTCAGGTCACCTAACCTCTTGGTACTCTAGGCAACTCTGCTAAAAGTTGCAAGAGCAGGCCCTCTTCTGCTTTGGTAGGAGTTTCCTCAGTGTTCCTTAATACCAATGAAAACACAGTCTGATCCTAAAAATATAAACAGAAAGTATAGGAATAGGAAGATTTTTTCTGTAGCACAAAAAGTATCTTAAGTGAAGAACATTTGCAGTAAAGACAGACACATTCTCACTGAAAATAAGTGTAAAGAAGATTGTCAGCACTACCACCTGTCACGACTACAATTTGAGTTTTAGAAATATTTGCTAGTGTTTATTGCTTTAATTTCATTTTCGTGCTTTATTTCTATATCTGAGACTCAGGAGTTAAGTATTTCTTTTGCAGAGGACCATGATTATATACTTAGGAAGGCCAAGAAATTCAGTAAAAAAAATTTAGGTAATCAATTTTAAAAACATGAGAAATACACAAAAAAATCTGCTTTTTAAAATAAATCATTAGGAAAAAAGGGAGCTATTGATAGAAATAAAAATGCCATTTGTGATCATTACATTGTTGTGCATTAATCTATCAAGACATAATTGTTGTTTGTTGGCAACTCTAAAATGATTTTGATGGCAGTAGTTAGGAGATTTTATATTACATATGGATATAGACATATGTATATAAACATACATATAAAGAGACACAGATAAGCAGGGTACTTTTGTTACTGTTGTTTTAAATTTAATATGCATTTGAAAAAATAGTATATAATAGAAGTTGACAGTTTTATGTGTAGTCTGCTTCTGTTCTTTGTATATTGAAACATTTATATTTGTTATATTTATTAAGTTCATTTAAAAAAAAAAGACTTCAGAGAGGGGGGAGTTCTCTACCTCTCAAAGCAGTCCATTCCAGTTTTGGATATCTCCAATTTTTAGGAAGTTTTAGAAAGTTTTTCTTTACATCAAGCTTAAATCTGCATCTCACTTCCATATATTGCTCCTCATTCTGCTAGACAGAACAAGTCTAATACATCTTCTGCAAGATAGTCTTTCAAATACTTGAAGACAGCTATCTCTTCTACAGGCTAATATCCCTGTATCTTAGACTCATTCTCAGATAAGACGCTACATTATCCTGGTTAACTACTATGAATGTTCTCCAATTTATAGCCATCTTAAAATGTGGCACCAAGAAATGAATACAATACTCCAGATGTTGTTGTGTCCAGGGAAGAGTACAATAGTACTATTGCTATAGCAGTAAGACAGTAGAAGGTAAAGAAGAGGAGGGGACTTCTAGGTTACGTGATCACCAAGATGGAGATTTAGACATTTTCTCTGATCCTCACAACCTCTCATACCTTTCCAAAACAGAAATTATATGACAAAGATAAAGCAATTTCAACCACTTCCACTGTCTAAGATACTAAGAACTAAAACAAAAGTTTAAAAAAAGTAACCATGAACAAGTGTCTACCTTAAGTTCAATTAGCATCCCCTCCCCTACCACCCACCATGCAGTGAGGTTGCATTAGCCAGCTGGATCCATGGACTTGTAACAAAACACAACCCATTCTTACCTTCTTTCCAGTGCCATGGAGATCAAGTGCCAAACTGCAGAAACTTGTCGAGGCCCCAGCAGCCAGAACCCTGATAGCACTCTGTACTGAAAAAGATCACTACAGGAGAGTGAGAGGAACAGAGGGACCAGACAGTACACATCTATGCTTGAAATAGAGCTCAACCCCACACCCGAACCCCTCCCCTCCTTCTCCCAGAACCTCCGAGATCCAAACTACAAAGGACAGAAATCAACCCCACAGCATGGCAGTGCTCCACTGCCTGGGCAGGTAACTGAGAAACAGAGGGAACCGGGGGCTGGATAGGACTAGGTGGCACTCCACTAAGCCTAAGAAAAGAGCCAGTTCTGTCCCCCTAAAAGTAACTTGGGGCAGAATCCTAGGGTAATGAACTTTGAGTTGCCCAGTATGGGAGGAGACTGAGACACTTTGAGATCCAGCCGTGAGGGAAACCACCATCAGAAGGGAGAGAGTCAGAAAGTGAACAGTAAAGGAAAATAAGAGAAGGGAAACAGTGAAATTACCAAGAATCTCAAAAGGCTGAAAACTCAGAAGACCTCTAGCATAGACATAAATCAACAAAGGAATTATTAATAGCAGAAGTAAATATGGACTCCATATTTAGTAAATGAGTTCAGGCCTCTATGAATAAATACAGTAAAACAAAGAAAAAAAATGACTCAGCAGTTGAAAACACAGAAGATCCTGTAGAATTTGAGAATGTGGAATGATAATATACTGTTCCTAAGTGGTTTAAAAGGAGAAATAAGGGGGCAACTAGATGGCACGGTAGATAGAGTATCGGCCCTGGATTCAGGAAGACTTGAGTTCAATCTGGCCTCAGACACTTGACACTTGCTAGCTGTGTGACCCTGGGCAAGTCACTTTTCCTCATTGCCTCGGGAAAAAAAAGAGAAATGAGAATGAGAGTAGGATTTATGGCTTACATAACAAAAATAATGGGAAGAATAGAAAAACTGGAGTCTGCCATGGCAAGTCTTACTGTAGAAACAAAAGAAAGGACAACTGATTGGGATACAAATACACAGAAGTGAAGGAAAGTCTAGAAGAAGAAAAACAAAAATAATAACATTAAAGAAAACATGTTCCCTATTCAAGGAAAGCATATTGATCTGGAAGACAAGATGGACAGAAAAACAAAACAAAACTGAGGAGTCTATGTCTTCTAGAACAGTAAGACAAGTAAAAAAACTCAAACACCATAATGCAAGAAAACTCCCCAGAACTTCTGAACACAGAAAAAGCAGTACTATTTGAAAGAATGACTAGATCACCTCCAGAAAAAAACCCAAGGTGCTAAACTCCAAGACACATAGTGCTCAAATTTAATAATTCAATTTAGAAACAAAAAATTCTTCAGGTAACCAGGAGGGATACAGAGGAAGGGAAATTAGAATAACACAATATTGTTCTTGCACCCAGCAGAAAACTCAAGCATGGAATAATGTGTTCCAAAGAGCAATGGATGCCGCCCAGAGTGACTTGCTCTGAAAATCTGAGCTTAACCATAAATGAAAAAAAATATGGGCATTCAATAATAAAGAGGTATTTGGGACATTTTTAAAAAAGAAAACCAGACCTGAAGAGATTACTTGCTTCTCAGATACCTCAATCAACCAAAATCTAGGGGGGGTGAATGAATACAGCAGCCAGTGACAACGGCAACAGAACAACTGCAGAGAGACCAGTCAGAGACTTCTTTCTAAATGTACGCAAAGAGATGGGGTGAAAGCAGAAGCCTTGAGACAGCCTGCCTACAGGTGAATCAGTCAGTGTCTTTTGTGGGACTACATTACAAAATGGGAGGGTGCATAGAAGGGGGGAGAGGAGGAGAAGGATAGAGGTGAGTCTGTGATATGCCTGGGTCATATCAAAGGCCATTAATAAGGGAAGGATTATCTCTGTGGCCTCTCAGGAAGAGAAGACCCTAGAGTGAAGTGAGTGAAAAAGATGGAAGGATTGAGAAGGAAGGGTGGGAAGAGAAGTTTTATTTTGATAATGGGGCTTGGATTCCACTGAAGAATGCTACTATGAGTGAAAAAAGCTATTTTGTAAAGGGAAAAAGGAGATGGGGAAGGGGGCGCATATGCTAAATGTTGTCTCTGGGGATTTGGTGTTCAAAAAGACTATTCAACCTGCCTCAGGAGAGGAGGGAGTTGGATTCCTCAGGGCAACTGGCACCTAGGGGAGTAGGAGGGGATGGATTTAGGGAGATTTTTAAATAAGTGAGAAGGAAGGTGACCAGGGGAGGATATAGGTCATTGGTAGGCTGCATAATCAGGGGCATGGAGGGAAAAGGGACTGCCATGCATCTTATCTGTTGCCTGCAGATATTGATATTTTTCTGGGATTGTGGGACAATGGTAAAAGATAATACACTGGGATATTTCTACAAGGCAATGGCAGAAACTGCGTAGAGGAAAGAACCCAGAATGTATACCATGGAAGTTTTGACTCCATGAAGAATGCAGAGAATACAGAGGGACTAGGTAAGTATATGGGTCATGAAATAGAGGAGGGTCTAAAATAGAAAGAGAGGATGGATAATAAAGAGAGTAAGAGAAATTCTCTCTGGAAAGGGATGCAAAAATGGGGTCAACAAATGGGAGAGGAGATCAAGAGTGAGGGGAAGAGAGCCAATGGAAGTAGGGCTGTTATAAAAAAAAAAAGATTAAGCTAAAGCAACTGGAGAGGCGTAATTCTGTGTTTATAATGGAATAGAGGAAAAGTCATAAGTTGAAAAAAAACCTAATGTTAGAGACAAATGGAGGAAAATATAAACCTGTTATAATTTTAAATATGAATGGATTAAACAATCCAATAAAATAAAAGAGTGACAGATTAGGAAACAAAATCCTACAATCTGTTGCTTACAAGAAACACCTTTTAAAAAGACACGCACACAGGAAAACCAAGAGGATTGGGAAAAAAATTTGTTGTGTATCAAGTGAATCCAAAAAAATAGGAGTTTCAGTTATCTGACAAAACAGAAACAAACTTAAAAAAAAAGAAAAGTTAAACAGGGAAACTGTATCATGTTGAAAGAAACCATAAACAACAGACCAATATCAGTAATAAACCCAGACACTCTACCTTAGCATCCAAATTCATAAAGAACACATTAACTAAGCTACGAGGAGACATAGATAGTAACACAATATGGTCAGAACTTATGTGTCCCTTTCTGAGTTCTAGATAAGTCCAAAAGAAAAATAAACGAAAAATATAGAACTGAAATTGCTGGGGAAATTAGAGCTGAAAGATTTATGGCATCTTCTCAATGGGACTTCAAAGTAATACTCATATTTTGTAGCACCACATGGAATTTTTAAAAATGCCCATGTATTAGAGTACAAAGATATTGTAAAGGAATGTAAAAAGGCAGAAATATTAAGTACATCTTTTATAACCCACAACGCAATAAAAATAGTAATTGTTTCAAGGACCAAAACAAAAGACAGACCCAAATAGAAACTTAATGATGAAATCCTAAATAAGTTGGTCAAAGAACAAATCACAGAAACAATTATATGAAAGAAAATGATAATGATGAAACAGCATATCAGAGTTTCTGGGATGTAGATAAAGCAAATCTTGGAAAAAGTCATATCCTTACAAACATTAACAAAAGAAAAAAAGGATTAATGAACTGAATATGCATTTTAACAGATTAGGGAAAGCCAACAAATCTAAAATAAGCACAAAAGAGAAGATATTAACACTTAGCAGAGAAATAGATAAGTTGGAAACCAAAACAAACATAGAAAATGATTTTAAAAAAAAACTGGTTCTTCAAAAAGACTAAGTAAAATTATTAACTTTCAAGTCAATAAAATAGTAAATGAGCAAGGTGAAATCACAAAACATTTTTCATGTGATTGTTAGTAGTCTACAATTCTTTTGAGAACTTTTTCTTCGTTTCATTTGATTATGTGCGTGTGTGTGTGTATAAATATAATCATTTCTGATAGTTGTCTGTTATTTCAGATATCAAACCTTTTCCCTAGAAATTTGATATAAGGATTTTTTCCCTCTCCAGTTATCTTCTTTTTTTTTAATATAATGAATAGTGCGCCCTCTAACGTTCAGTCCTGTGTATTCACTTTAGTTATTCATTGTGGCAAATTGCACAAGATATTGACCTAAATTTTATTTTTGCCAAAGTAGATTCCTGAAAAATGCTCGAAATCTTTAGTAAGAAGAGAAATACAAATCAAAACAACCATGAGGTTTCACCTCACAGTCGGTAAAATGGCAAAAATGATAAAAGACAAGCATAGTCCACATTAGAGGAGTTACCAAAAGATAGACCCACTGATGCATTGTTGATGGAGCTATAAATTGGCACAACCATTTTGGAAAGCATTTTGGAAATATGCAAATAAAGTAGCTAAAATATCCCTACTCTGACACAGAGACTCTATTAGCTAGGCATATACCACAAGGAGGTTCTTGTTCAAAAGAAAGTCCTTATGTATACCAAAATATAGCAACATTTTTTTAAATAATGAAGAACTGGAAATAAAGGAGATAGCCCTTGATTGGAGAATGACTAACACTTTGTGGTACATGAACATACTGGTATATTAATATGGTATGAAACATGATGAATTTGAAGAAAACAAAGAAGTATGGGAAGACATGAACTAATATTAAATGAAATAAGCAGAAATAGGGAAACAATATACTGAGTATAAATGGAAAGAGTAAGAAAACAGAATTCTTTGTAATTATCATGACCAAACCCTAGCTTCAAAGAAGTAATGAGAAAATTCACCTCCCTTCTTTGCCGATGCTGTGGCTATGGAACAATGAATGTAATACTCTCAGGCTTGGTTGATTTGTTGGTTGGTTTTTCTGGACCATTTCCCCCCTCCTTTGCTATAAGGGCTAGCTCTTCCAGGGAGGTGAGGAAGATGTATCTCTGTCTTTGTACATATAAATATGTAGATTTAAATAGAGATAAGAATGTAAAAGAGAAAACAAGAGAAAAATTATTCTTTGAAATAATCTATAAGAATTATTTTTAGCACTTGCACTCCATCTTCTAATCTTAAATAATGGGCTTTTATATTTCTATCTTTGATTCGTTTGGTGTTATGTATTGTGAGGTGGAAACTAGATACCATTTCCCGATCAGTTTTTATTGAATAATAATTCCCATTTTCTGTGTTTAGTAATTTTGGATTTATCAAAAGCTAGTCTACTGTATGTCTTTGCTTCTGATTCTGGATTACTTATTCTTTTACATTTAACTACTTTTATTAACCTTTTATAAGACAGTATTATTGACAATTACCACTATCTAAATCTGAAAGTGCAGGTCCCCTTTTTTCTTTTTTTCTTCATAATTATCACTAATGTTATGAGCCCTTTGGTACTTTGATGTTGCATTAAAAATCTGCAAAATAGTTTGGATAATATTGCCATTTTTATCATAGTTTGCTTACAAGGGTGTTATCTAAGAATGACTACATCAAATGCAGAAGATATGTGTTTTAATAGTAGATGAACCCCCACATTGTAATCTTTGTTTTAGGAATCATGATGATATAAATGGCCTGGGTAAACTTTAGGAAATTTATTCAGTGAATTGTAATCCCTACCCAGGAAATCTGGAGAAAATCATCACCTAATTGACTATAAATAGAATCATAGGGTTTAGAGCTAGAAAGAACCTGGGACATCATCTAATCTAAATAAGTCATTTTATAGATCAGTAAAGAAATACTTGATGAAGTCCAGACTTGTCTCACATAGGAGGTGACAGCCTGTGTTCTAACCTCCATCCTCAACTGTGATACATGCATTAAGACATAAGCACTTAGAGGAAAGAAAATTTTGTTAGTATATTGAAAAAAAACAGCCTTTCAATAAACAATTCTCTCTCTTCCCCTTTTAGTTTCCTAAGTATTCCCAGGAATTTTTATTGTTCTTTCCAAAGTTCCCCACTGTTAACCTGCAGATATCTCCAAGTGTAGCTCTGATTCATCTAAAAAGTGGACTTCTAGCTTAGAAAGGCTTTCAAAAAATCCTCTGTTGTTGGCTTGGCCATCGCCATTAAGGGGAAGTCCTTAAGAGTCTTCTTCATCTAGCAAGATATTCAGTTCTTTCAGTATCACGGTTTGAGTGGTACTATGACACACTGGTGACTTCTGACTAAAATTATTCCCTTTTTTCACTGTACCTGTCACTGTGCATTGTACCTGTAAACACAAATCAGCTTACCCAGGTCTGAGGCCTCTTATTCAGAGCTGCAACAAGATTTTTTTATTCATTTTATTTTTTGCCCAGAACAACTAACAGAAGCCATACCCAAGGAAGTACATTAAATATGGAGTCATTTGGGCAGGAGAAGTAGGAGACAGAGACCCCAGGATACCATACCGGGGGGGGGGGATTCCACCCAGCAACTGTAAGTTACTTTTTGAAAAATATCTTGATAAGTAAGCCCTAAATTCAGCACACAGCACCAAAGGCCTGGTTGTCCCAGTCATAGCTCTGCTTCCATTGTTCTTTAACTTCAGAAGAATTCCCATCAGAAACTTTAGGCTTCAATATATGAAGGACAAATGTTGATATATTTTCCCAGTTAACACTTGGTGGGGATATTTTCTACCCATAGATATAGAGAGAGATAGATAATAGTAGCTAACATTTATATAGTGTTTACTATATGCCAGGCACTGTGCTAAGCACTTTACAATTATTATCTTATTTGATCCTCACAATAGCCCTAGAGGGAAGGTGCTATCCCTATTTTACAGATGAGGAAACTGAGGCAGGTAGGTTAATTGACTTTCCCAGGGTCACACAACTAGTGTCAGATAGATAAATAAGAAAGAGATAGATTCATTTATTAAGTTCTTAGTATGTTTCAGATGCTGAGGATACTAAACAAGCAAATGAGACAGTCCCTGCTTTCAAAGAGCTTAATGAGTAAAAATAGTACCTAAAGGGAAGCTGCAAAGGGAATGGGACACCATGTGTAGCAGGACTGGGAAGGAAGCTTGGGCCTCAGCAAGGTCAGGAAATGTTGAGGAGTCAATAAAGCATTCTAATTTGCTCTGTCGCTGGCTCATACTGCATGGGTGTGAATATCAGCTCCCCCAAAGGTATTAAGAATCTGCCTGTTATCAGAGTTGCAGGTGGAGACTGTGTTTTGACAAGTTTTCAAGCAAGCGTTCTTGCCAGTGGTTACCATTCAGGCTTCCAAATTAATCAATGAAAGCTGAGAAGTGGGGGAACAATCTAGCACCTGTCATTTACCCTATTTTAATCCTAAGTTAGTAAACATTTTACATCATTTTACAGACTTCTCAACCTGATCCCATTGAACTCCAAAGACAGCAAGAGACCAAGAGGAAAGCTCTTGCCAGAAAACGAGCCAGAGAACATCTTCGACTAAGAAGTCCTGAACCTGTAGAAGGCAGAAAACATGTTGATGTACAGACAGGTATATCACCTCAAAAAAATCACTGTTTTTGTTTTGTTTTTATACTCTATCCACTTAATTTATGTTAGCCTGTTTACATTATTCATGCATCTGATATACAGACCATTTCTCTGTTGACTTAAAATTCATGTCATGAACATTTTTTTTCCCAGTATCTTCTGTGTGCAGAGAGTACTGTACTAAGTATTGTAGGGCTACCTGGTCAGAGTAGGGGAGAAAAATTTTCCTGTCCCTTTTCTGTAGTCTGTACTCAGACTGTTTCTGCGTGGGTCAGGGGAAAAAAAACATTCCTGTCCTTAACTCTCTACATTCTAGCACAAGTCATCTAAGCATTTCCTTTGACATACTTTGGAGCATCATTCAACAATGTAGGATGATATTCTGATTCTTTAATTTGTTCTAGTTATGAATAGACGAAACCCTAGTACTTGTTTGGCAACATTGCACACAGTAGCAGCAGTATTTTATGATGATCAACTTTGAATGGCAGCTATTTCCAGCAATATAGTGATCTAAGACATTTCCAAAAGACTCATGATGAAAAATGCCATCCACCTCCAGAGAAAGAATTAATGGTGTCTGAATGCAGATTGAAGCATGTTGGTTTTTTTTTAACTTCCTTTATTTTTCCTGGGTTGGTTTTTTTTTTTGCATTGTCTTTCACAACATGACTAATATGGAAATGTTTTGCATGACTGAACATGTATAATCAATATAAAACTGCATGCCTTCTCAAAGAAAGGGGAGGGGACGGAGGGAAGAATTTGGCACTCAGAAACTTTAAGAAATAAAAGTTAAAAATGTTTACATGTGATTTGGAACAAAAAACAAAATAAAAGAAATAGAAAGTAAAGATACAAACAAGCAATTCTTATCAAGGGAAAGGAAAGAAAGATACTTCTTGCCTATTTTTCCGAGTAGTTTATATATGGTATTGGAATTAATTTTGTTAAATGTTTGGCAGAATTCCCTTGTGAACCCATTTGGTACTGGGGATTTTTTTCTTAGAGAGTTCATTGATAGCTTGTTCAATTTCTTTTTCAAAAACAGGATTATTTAAGTATTCTATTTCCTCTTCTGTTAATCTGCGTAGTTTATATTTTTGCAAATATTCATCCATTTTACTTAGATTGTCTGATTTGTTGGCATATAGTTGGGCAAAATAGCTCTTAAAGATTGCTTTAATTTCATCTTCATTGGTGGTGAATTCACCCTTTTCATTTTTGATGCTAGTAATATGGTTTTCTAATTTCTTTTAAAAAAAAAACTAGTGGTTTATCTATTTTGTTGGTTTTTCCATAAAACCAGATTCTAGTTTTACTTACTAGTTCAATGGTTATCTTACTTTCAGTTTTATTAATCTCTCTTGATTTTCAGCATTTTCAATTTGGCATATAATTGGGGATTTTTAATATGTCCTTTTTCTAGTTGTTTGGGTTTTTTTTCCACACCCAATTCATTTACCTGTTCTTTCTCTGTTTTATTGATGTCAGTGTTCAGAAATATAAAATTTCCCTTAAGTACTACTTTGGCCACATCCCATTAATTTTGGTATGTTGTCTCATTGTTGTCATTCTCTTTAATGAAATTATTGACTGTTTCTATGATTTGTTCTTTGACCCATTCTTTAGAATTAGGTTATTTACTTTCCAATTAATTTTTAATCAGTGTTTCCATGGCCCTTTATTGAATATAATTTTTACTGCATTATGATCTGAAAAGGATGTATTTCCTATTTCTGTTTCTCTGCATTTGGTTTAAGGTTTTTAATGTCTTACTACTTGGTCAGTTTTCCCCAATAAATAATACAAAATTTGTTAAAACAATGCCGTCAATTTTTAAAGGATATGTTTTTTTCAGAAGCAGGAAATGAGAGGTTCTTTCAGTAAGGAAAGATCTATGTAATGAGAGATCTATCAGTAAAAGAGAACAAGATAAATTGATAATGAAAATCAACAATATGGAGAATGTGATGGAAATTTCAGATACAAGCAGAGAATATATGAGAAATAAAATGTATATTCTGGAAAGCAAATCAGAAGTAACAGAACATGCAACAAAATAAAAACAAACTTGAGACTTTTATAAACAAAGATGCCAACTAAAACATATAGTTTAGAAAGCTAATTTAAATTACAGTATTAACTTGAAAAAAAGGCACAGAAACAATATTTTTCAGGAAAATTACACAACATCATTTAAAAATGTCTTTCTAGATAACTGACTTTGATAGACTTGGCTCTTCTCAGCAATGCAAGGATCTAAGACAACTCCAAAAGACTCATGATAGAAAATGCTATCCACACCCACAAAAAGAACTATGGAGTCTGAATGGAGATGGAAGCATACTATTTGCTCTCCTTTTCGTTTGTTGTTTTGTTTTATTGCTTCATTCTTGTGGCTCCTCCCATCAGTTTTAATTGTTCTTTACATCATGACTAATGGGAAAATATGCTTAATATGAATTTGTAAGTAGAGCCTATATCAGATTGCATGTTGTCTTGGGGAGGGGGAGAGAAGAGAGGACAGGGGAGAAAATTTAAAACTCAAAATCTTGTGGAAGTGAATATTGAAAAATAAAAATTAATTAATTAATTAATTTTAAAAATATTTTTCTAGAATTATAAAGCTATTGAGGTTTTAATTCTATAATTTCTCCATTTCTCCTTTACCTCTTCTCAGTAATACAATAGATTCTGTTCCTTAAATTTCACTGTACTATACCAACTCTTAGAGTATAGTTATGTATTTCCAGGAACAGAAGAGAATCCCAGCCTAATTATACTTATAGGAAGCATAACTAGTTATAATTTATTGCTGTTAAAACAAAGGTTACAGTGAATGTGTTATTAACATGTAAAAAAGACAGCCTCTGCACTGGAACCTGTGGCATTCTAGGTTCTTGGATGCGACCTTTTGACTGAGTCCATGTTTTACAAAACAAATCTTTTATTAAAGAGGTTTGTTCTGTGACATTTGTATTCAGTCAGAGGGGCGCATTTGAGGACCTAGAGGGTCACATGTGGCCTCAAGGCTACAGGTTGCCCAGCCCTGGCTCAGTATCTTTTGTCCTGAATCTTGGATGGCCATAGCACATGTGACAGGAGCTGACTAGTTCTACCAGGACTGCACTGTTTTCTCTTCGAGACTTAACTAAACAACCTTACACTTTTTACAAATACACCATTTTACAGTAAGCAGAACCCAGGTACTTTAAATATACCACCCTGAGTGATATAATTCCTTTGGTGGTCAATAGCACTATCTCTGATTCATCAGCCACTGAATGATTATATGTATCATCCTCTTCCCTCTGGAGGAAAGATCCCATTCTGACCAGACAGCCTCACCTCCCCACTTCAAAGCTGAGGTCTGTGTCACATAACCCAAAATCAGAGACTAAGACTCAGTGTACTAATATCACCTCTGTGCTTATAATTCTACCAGGATCATTTATTGACATTTCATCCTGTGAAAGCTAAATTTTAGGAATTTATTCACATTATGAGAACCATATACCAGAATGAGCCATATATCTCTCTGAGCTAAGATACGATCAAATTTATATATTTAAGGGCCAGAGAGAAAAGGTAACATCAGGTAGCTTAGTGAGCGATACACTTTTAAAAATATTGAAAATCTTTCATAATTCTATACATTGGACCTGCTAGTTCTTCATTCCCATATGTTCATTTGGCTAATTTTCCATCCTTCATTATATATTTACCTCTTATACTACTACTGTTAACTATCTACTACTATATCCTCCTTTATCACAACCACTTTATAGTACTCAGCAAATATAGCTTAATAAATACCATAAACTAAGTATGTCATCCCCTAGAATATGTGTGTGTGTGTGTATGTAATATATATATGTATGTGTGCATGTGTGTGTGTGTGTATATGAAAACTTAATTGGGTCTTTAAATTGGATCTCACATTTGATCGTCTTGATTTTAAGGATAATATTCTTTCTTATTTATTAAAATTTCAAATAATGCACCTAATGTTAGAGTATGCCAAAAACTTAAAAAATGTTTTTGGTATTTTTTCTTAGAGTTGTATCTAGAAGAGCTTGCTGACCGTGTAATAGAAGTTGATATGGAATGTCAGACGGATGCATTTTTGGACAGACCACCAACACCACTCTTTATCCCAGCCAAAACTGGCAGAGATGTAGCCACACAAATACTAGAAGGCGAGGTATGGTAAACTTTTCAGTATTCTGTCAGTTATGTGTTTCTATTCATAAAGTATATTTAGATTGACTAAGAGTTTGTCAGTCAACAAGCATTTATATAGTGCTTACTACATGCCAGGCAGTGTGCTAAGTGCTTGGGACACAAAGAAGGCCAAAAAAATTCCTGCGCTCAAGAAGTTTACATTTTATTGAGGGAGCTTGCAAGTAAATAAGCATGTACAAGATATATAATGTCAGAGGGAAAAAACTTCCTGCAGGAAGTGATGTTTGAGTGAAGTCTTGACAGAAGCCAGAGATTCTAAGAAGTGGAGATGGGGAGGGAGAGCATGCCAGGCATAGAAGATAGCCAGTACAGAGGTACAGAGATGATAAATAATAACTAGCATTTATTTGGAACTTTAAGAGTTCCAAAATGCTTTTTATAATCTCATTTTATCCTCACAGTAACCCTTAAGAATGGTGATGTTATTTTCCCCATTTTACAGATGAGAAAACCGAGACAGAAAGAGGATAAGTGACTTGCCCAAAGTCACCCAAGTAGTAAATATTTGAGGTAGGATTTGAACTCAGGTCCTCTTGACCCCAAGTCCAGCACTCTATCTACTGTGCTTCCTACATGCCTCATTGGCCACGTCCAGAAATGTAAGTCTAGCTGGGAGATGGAATGTCTGTGAGGAATTATAAGTAGGCCAGTGTGGCTGGATCATAAAATCCAAGGAACAGAATAAATAGAAGAAGATTGGAAAATTAGCAAAGGGCCAAGGTTGTAAATGCCAACCAAAGGACTTTATATTTGATTACTACATGCCAGACAGTGTGCTAGATGTATGTAATAGGTGGTCACCAGAGTACTCAACAGAGGAGAAGGGGGAGGGAGCAATGTAGTGAGACGTACATTGAGAAGAATCATTTTAGCAGTTAAGAGAAGTGGATGTGTGAGGTGAGTGTAAGGAGTCGAGGATGACGGTGAGACTGCAGACATCACTGACTGGCAAGGTGGTGTTCCCTTGACAGTAATGAGGAAGTTTTGAGGTAAGTGTAGATACTTTACAAGTAGTAGTTCTTCAACAGCAACGTACAATAGGCTGGATTTCATTCCTCAGATTATCTAGAGCTGTCTGATCCAGGCATGCCTAGAAATGGCTTCCACTCTGTGGTTTTGATTTGATTTCGATGACATCCAAAACCTACATTTTCAAAAATGGTCTTAGCATAGTTTTCTAAAATTTTAGTGAGGTACTAAATTTAGTCTAGTAATAAATGAGGAAGAACATTCTGCACTAAAGATGCAAGTGAAATTAGGTTTGCAATTAGAATAATCCAGTATAGTTTAAGAAGGATCTTAAAGTCATTGTAGTGCTCACATTCTTTTGCAATGCATAAATATGATGACTTAGAAGGGGTTGAATGTACGCTTGGGGAAAGAAACCCCAAACAACTACTATTAAGAAAATAGAAGTGAAGTTAAAGATTTCAGAGTGTAGGCATACAGAGGAGATTAGCAAGCCAACCACTTGGGCATTCGCTACTAGACATTGCTGAGGGTTTTTTTCATCCCTGCTACTAGTAAGATGTGAGGATCTCTCAGGGAGAACGATATTAAAGCGAAGATGTTTTTCCTTGAATCACATTATTATATCTTAAAGGTTTTAAATGTGAAGGTTCATTTTTATGTTTTCGTGAATCCCTGTGTGGATTTAACTTACCTGTGATAGGTTCATACTTCAGGTATCTGCGAATAGAATACTGTTCTGCTATATAATTGTTGGAACTGGTGAAACTAATAATGAATTTCTTTTGGTTTCCTAAGCTGTTCAACTTTGACGTTGAAGTCAAGCCGATGTTGGAAGTTTTGGTGGGAAAGACCATTGAACAAGCTTTGCTGGAAGTCATGGAAGAAGAAGAATTGGCTGAACTAGAGACGCATCAACAACAGTTTGAAGAATTACGGAATCTGGAACTCGCGGAAGTCCAGCGACTTGAAGAGCAAGAGAGGCGCCACCAGAAAGAGAAGGTACGGCTGCCTTTGCCTCTCCCTTTGTTGTTCCCACTTGCTGCTGTTATGCTTCAGATTACTTTGGGTTTCTCATATTAACTGGAAATATTTGAAGACTGGTTGAAAAAAGAGCCTGGCATACTTCTCGGCCCGCTCACTCCCCTGCGCTTAGACCACAGTGCCCTTCGTGAATTTCATTATAAAAGATTCCTTCTATAGGATTCCTGAATTGAGTTTCTGCGTAGTTCTAATGTAGCCTTGGATTCCACAAAAGATAAAATCCAAGACACTGAGTGTGTAACCATAATGTCTCCTCTTAGTCGGTGCTTCAGTGGAGGCTCTGGAGCAGTAGCAAATGTGTCTTTATCATATATTGGCCCACATTCTGTAAGCTTTTGTTTTTAATATTGTTGGTTAAATAATCTGTTTCTTGTATATTCTGTTTGGTGTAACTTGAAGTAATTTAATGTGATTTGTTAGATCCTTAGAAATTAATCATCTTCTCCTACTGGTTAAGCTGTTCTGGTGATATGTACTTGGTAGCTTCATCACCTCTTTCAGACCGCCAGAAACCATAGCTTGCTTCCTGAGTGTGCTGAGTCCATAACTTATCGAACAGTGCTCTAGTACTGTTTTATTGAATCATTGTGTATGTTGTCAGCTAATTCAACATTCACGTAAAACCCTGGTCACAAGCCTTAAGATGAGTCAGGGATAGAGAACAGAACATTCTTTCCACCTGTGATTATTTGGGCCATGTTTACCATCCTCCTTGTATCTTTTTTTTTTTAATTAGGCAATTGGAGTTAAGTGACTTGCCCAGGGTCACACGGCTAGTAAGTGTCAAGTGTTTGGTCTGAGGCCGGATTTGAACTCAGGTCCTCCTGACTTCAGGGCTGGTGCTCTATCCACTGCGCCACCTAGCTTCCCTGTCCTTGTATCTTTGTGGGACCTTTTTTCTATGCACACAGAAAGCTTGTTGTAATGACTATTAAAATAGTCATCATTGAATATAAATAGGACATATACACGTCCTAAAGATGGAGATGCATGAAGCACCACTTCAAGTAAGTAATAGTACCATTTCTTTAGTCTTTGTTGTAACTAGAAAATGGAAATAGAATGAGGCCTTTTCCCCTTTGACTGAATAAAGCTTACTGCCATTATTCTCCCCCACATGAAGAGGAGAATAGTACCCAATATACTTGAATGCTGCCTGAGTAATGAGTCTCATTTAAAAATTTTATATTGCATGCTTGTGTAAAGTAAGCAGGGTTAAAGTAACAATTACATATGCTGTACATGGTAACATTAATAAGAAATATGAACATTCAGCAAACAGACATCCTGCTTTCTATTTTGATCAAAGTAGGGTTTCAACAACTTCAGTACATTTTCTTCACCAGCAGCAATAAAAGTTAAGAGAATAAATTTCGTGACAATAGTCTTGTTGGTATACCTTGAAACACTACATAAACACAAGTTTTCATCAGTATTTTTATTATTTTGGCAGGAACATCGCAGACAGCAACAACTAGCAGTATTACACAAACAGAATGAGACTTCACAGAAAATTGCAGCTCGAGCATATGCTAAGGTTTACTTGGCTGACCTCCTTCCATCTGTCTTTGGCAGTCTCAGAGATAGTGGTTATTTCTATGATCCTATAGAAAGAGGTTTGTTGCAGTTCTGTGTTTTGATATGTTAGCTCCCAAATAGCACTAATTTTCAATAATATTATGCAATAATTTGTGTATAGTAAGTACTCTTGGCATAATAAATTAATTTCATCTTAATACCCTTTTCATTTTGAAAAAAAAAGGATTTTTAGCTGACCTTGATGAATCAGTGTTGATTTTTGCAAACGTTGTCTTATTTGTATCTTTAGTCTTTTTAGCACAGTGACTAGCATAAAGTAAGCATTGAAGAATTGCTCTTTCATTCGTTGGTGTTATTTATCAGAGGAAAAGATAGCATTGTTCTTTCCGAGGTTAACTATCTAACAGCTGTTCCTTTGATCCCATTTCTTCATGACTGACTTTAGGACTATATTTCATTTCTCCTTCTCTACCCCTTTTCACCCTTCAGTATCTACCTCTGCATTAGCTCTCTGTCTTCGATCTACTGACTCGCTCAGGTCACCTCCTCTTTAAAAATTGGTAGAAGGGACTTCAGAAGCCATCATATCCTGCACAAGAATCTCTTCTACACCATGCTCATGCAGTGTGCATGGTCCACGCAGCTTTGGATTGAAATCCTCTGGTCCAGAGAACTCGTGGCCCCCAGAGCCGCGTCCATGCTACCTCAGAGAATTTTTGTTATGCCCTCAAGTTTAAGGTTGAGTCTCTGCAACTTCCATACGTTGTTCCTACTTCTGCCTTTTGGGACCAAACAGAACAAGTCTGTTCTCTTTGCTGTAAGCTAGGCCTTCAGATGCTTTGAAGGTAGCTCCTTTGTCCTCACTAAGCATTCCAGCAGCCAGGCTAACCATCCTTTGTTTCTTCAGCGATATGGCAAGATATTAAGTTCCTTCACCATACTTGTTCCCCTCTTAACTGTCCCCAGCTTATCAGTGTCCTTCCAAAATTGTGTTGCCTAATACTCAATACTCCAGGGGGAATGTGATCAGGAAAGAGTACAGGGAGACTGTAATTTCCCTAGTCCTGTACCCTATGCCTCTCTCAATGCAAATTTTTAACTACCATCTCATACAAATTATATTGAGCTTGTACAGTAGTCATGACCCCAGATCTTTTATAGACTGATGAGTAGTCATGCTTCCCTGTACTTGGGAAGTTATTAAGTATAACAGTTTTCATTTCTCCATATTGAATTTCATTATTAAATTTGGTTCACTTTTCTAGCCTGTCAAGATCTTTGTTAATCCTCCTGTCACCCTGAATTAATTATTCCTCCCAATTTTGTCTTATAAGAAAATATATAGAAATGTGAAGAGTAGTGTGTTGATGGCAAGAAATAGCTACTGGTTCAGTTTAATTGGAACATATAATGTATCAAGGGAAATAATGTGAAATAAGGCTAGTAAGATATAGGGCAGATAGCATATGAAGGCCCTATCCTGGAGAGCACTGGGACTCTAGGTGTTCTCAGTAGGAGAGTGAAGTAATCAGACCTGGACTTTAGGAAGATGATTTTTTTTTTTGGTGAAGTGATTGGGGTTAAGTGACTTGCCCAGAGTCACACAGCTAGGAAATATTATGTGTCTGAGGCCGGATTTGAACTCAAGTCCTCCTGACTTCAGGGCCAGTGCTCCATCCGCTGTGCCACCTAACTGCCCCTAGAAAGATGATTTTAAGTGTTGTATGAGGAGTAGATTAAAGAGAATAGAGAGCAGAAGAAGAGAGAGCTTTCACTGAAAGGTTATGAGGGACTTTATCAACTAGAGTGGAGAAAAGGGGAAGAATTCAAAATATGGGGTGGAAGTAGAATTGACAGGACATAGCAACTAACTGGATGTAGAGGATGAAGAAGAGGGAAGTGTCTAACGGGACCTCTCTGAGATGTAAAGAGAAGAAGCTAAGAACGTTTCCTGGAGAAACACTTCCACATTAATTGATCAGTAGATGAGTGAAAGACAGAGTGCTTAAAGAAAGAAGAAAACAAAAAAAAAAGTGATATTGCTGAAGCTAAGGGAGGAGAGAATATCCAAGAGTAGGAAATGATGAAAGGGCAAAAAATTGCCCAGAGAGGATTACTGCTGAAAAAGGCCAATAGATTTGGTAATTATGCAGTTATTACTAATATATGAGAATAGTTTCAATATAATGTTGGAGTGTCAAAGCCCAGTTGCAAGCAGGGATTGAAGAGGCAGTGGATAAGGAAGAGGTGAATGGCTTTCTCAAGAAGTTTAGCAGATCTTTTTGAATCCCGATTCTATCATCTGTTATTAGCTATTTCCCCCAGCTTTGGGTTTTCAGTTCCTCTTTAATTGATTAGAAATTGAACCGAACAAGAAGAGGACAGAACCTTGAAAGCCAAAGTAAGTACAATTCAAGACTTCCTATTTAGCAAAGAAATATTTGGCTACCTTTTGATTAGTTACTTAGGTCCTCTAGCTTGTTTTTTTTGTTTGTTTGTTTGTTTGTTTTTATGGTGGAAGAGACCTTAAATGTACTCTCCCCTCTAATTTTACAGGTGAGAAAAGTCAAGCTTCGTTTTACAGCTGTTCCATCTTCTCTTCAGAATCAACTTTTTTTCTTAGTGTAGTGTCTGTTTCTTACTGCTTCTGCTTCTTAATTTCAGCCATGGCTACCAGTTTCTAATCTTCAGTGTTCTCTTTCCTCTTCTCTTTACTTTTACTTTTTTTCTCTTCTGTTAATTCTCCCACATTTCTCAACTTTCAGTGAAAAGACTAACAAAAGCTTTCTTTCTAATTTATACTGTTTATAAGATGTAAGATATAATCTTTAGGTCTTTAATTCTTTGATGATGATTTCTTTGTTGTTTGCTGTCCAGGACCTACTTTGCTACCAGAATTTCCCGCCCCCATCCCCATCCTATGCCAACTCCCACTGCCCATGACCTATTTCAGGATTTCAGAGCTGTTTTAAATACCTGAGAGTGCCAAAAGACTGGTTTTCCTGATAGTTTAGGTTTTAATGTGATCAAATAGCTTTTAACTCAAACAGAATTCTTATCTACGTAAACTGTCCCTTGTTAAGCACTCTGGTATTCCTCCAGAAAAGTATAGTGTAAGAAAGTATAGGAAATTACATCAGTGGCATAGAGCATAAGGAATCACTGTACTTCCTGCTTGTTGTTACTAAGTCAGGTCTTGACTCCAAGACCAGTAATCTGGGTGATCATAGACAAGTCACTTAATGTCTTTGGGCCACAGTTTCCTCATCTATAAAATGGGAGGGTGCTGGCCTGGATGGTCTATAGGGTCCCTTCTGACTCTACTATCCTATGATTCTGTGACTTTGTTTTAAAACAAAAGTGAACTGGCACTTTTTTGACATTGTTGTTTTCCAGACTTATCTTTTTTTTTTGACTCCCACTTTCTAATCCAGTCCAAAAGGCTGGTTGGACAGGTACCACATGTACCTCAAGCTGAGAAAAATTCCACCCTTTCAGTCTAGTCTGGGCAATGAGAAATAAGTTTAAATAAATTATATCCTTTCATTGCCTTCCTTCCGCAATTCAGTTGTGTTCAACATGCTGAGTTTTGATTAGCAGTCTTGCCTGTTTGGCTGGTAGGACTAAAAGGATGAAACAGCAGTGATTTCTTAGTAAAAATGTATACATAAGAATCATAGCCTTAGAGTTGGAAAGGACCTCATGTAACCCTTAGTTCGTGTCTGTTACCATCCTTGGAAAAATAGCCCTACTATTCTGTTTTTGTTGGTTTTGTTTTTGTTTAACCATACTTTGTTCTAAAGCAGTGTTCTTTAGAGTGATGTTACTAACAGGTGGGGAATTGCTGGGAAATAACTGATTTTTTTTTCTTTTAAAGAATCAACAAAACACTTTTAAAAAGTACCCTAAAGCTACATTTTTCCTAAGTTAGTTTTACTGTGCAAAGAACTATGCAGAGCAATGTGAGAGGCAGGTAGGGTAAAGAAAGTAAAACCTGCCTAGTCTTATCTTGAGTCTATTTACTCATCTATAGAGTGAGAATGGGACAGCTCAATGGACAGAGGGCTGGAGTCAGGAAGACCTAAGTTCAGGTGTGGCCTCAGACACTTCCTAGCTGTGTGACCCTGGGCAAGTCACTTAATGGTGTTTGTCTCAGTTTCCTCCTCTGTAAAATGAGCTAGAGAAGGAAATGGCCAAGCACTCCAGTATCTCGGCCAAGGAAACCCAAAATGGGGTCACAAAGAGTTGAGACTCAACAACAATAAAGTCAGAGCATTGAGCTGGATCAGGGCTTCTTAAGTGGGCTTGCATAGACACCCAGACTTCAAGAGGTTCCATGAATGTGGATGGGAAGATATTTTAGTAGCTGGGTTGTTGTTTTTTTTTAACAAATTTTATTTCCTTTGTAATGTTATTTATGCATTTTTAAATATTATTCTGAGAAGACTGTAGGCCTTACCAGACTGCCAAAGAAATCCATGACCAAAAAAAAAAAAAGGATTAAGAACCCCAGGGTTAGATGTTGGTTAAAGATCCCTGACAGCTCTAAAATTCTGTATTCCTTAAGTCTAATTTCATATTTGAGTAAGTTTGATTTGTGTAACAGAAAAAAAAACTGACCAGAGTATTCGTCACCTAAAAGACAAAAAAGTATTTATTCTGTCTTCAGTTGCTTAACCTTACTGTCTTAAGGAAACTTTCATTGTTGTAGGTGACTGTATACTGCTATATTAGAAAAAAGCACGGATTCTCCTGTCTTCTAGGAATGATTGATTTTTCAAATTGCATTTTTAGAATTTATTTTTCTTATCTTACAGATATTGAGATTGGATTCCTGCCATGGTTGATGCATGAAGTAGATAAGAGAATGGAATACCACATGGTGGGAAGAATAGTACTTGACAGTAAGTTATTTTTGTTTTGCCCTAAGCAGTGTACTGAGAGGAACAAGTTCAGAAGCAGACCAGAGTCTTAGTTCCAGCTTCCAGCCCAGTCAGCATCCTGCGGAAGAATGACCAGGGCAGGAATCCAAGAACAAAGCGAAGCTTACGGTTTCAGCATCACAGCTGATGACAGTAGCTGAGACAAGCAGCAACCTGCTGTTGCTCAGAACCAAACCCAGGCCACATACTTGCAAAGCTCAGACTGAGGGAGTAGCGATTCCTTTGTTTTGGACTTTGCCTTGGAGCAGAACACTTTGGGAATACTGAAAGCTTTCAGTATTTAACTGTCTCTGAGAAACTGAAATAATACTACATTCATTACCCAAAGAAAGCAGCTACAGGACCATCGCAGAACTCACCTCCACAATTGCGCAGGGCTGGCCCAAACACAGCCTGAAGTTAGGAAGTAAGCTGGAAGAATGAGCAAAGAAATAAAGAATCCCACTATCAAAAAGCTATTATGGTGACAGGACACTCCAGACATAAACCTAAAAGAAGAAAATGTTCCCAAAACATCTACAAGCGAAACTTCAAAGAAAAACCCAGCTTGTGTGTACATTCAGCTAGAATTCTTGAAAGAACTGGAACAAAAAAAAAATTTTAAAGAATTAAAATGTTTTGCTAAATAAAGTAAAAGAGCTAGAGGAAACATTTGAAAAGAAGTGAGAGCTATGGGAAAAAGAATTGGGAAGGGAATGGACAGTTTAAGATGAGAGATATAAAACCTTGGTCGAGCAAAAAACTCTGACATTTAGAATGGACCAAATAGAAGTCAATGATACCATGACACAAAAAGAAATATTAAAACAAAATCAAAAGATGAAAAAGAACGTAAGGTATCTTATAGCAAAAACAAATGACCTGGAAAATAAATTGAGAGGAAAAAATGTAAGACTCATTGGACTATCTGAAAACAATGACCAAAAGAGATCCTAAACATATTTCAAGAAATCCTAAGAGAAAACTTCCCTGATCTCTTAGAACCAGGGAACAAAGTGGAAATAGAAAGAATCCAATGGTCACCTCCTGAAAGAAACCCCAGAATGAAAACTCAAAGAAACAATCAAGCTAAAATCCAGAACTTCTAGGTCAAAGAAAATAATACTACAAGCATTCAAAAAGAAAAAATTCAAATACTAAGGAGCCACAGTCAGAATCACACATGATTTAACAAACTCTGCTATAAAGGAGCAGATGTGATGAGTGAAATCTGAAATGACTAAGAAAATAAAGGTTTGAGCTTCCTGGCATACCGATTTATTAAGCATTCCAAGTGAATTGCATAACCATTGGAATTGCCTATAAGTCAGTACAGGAATGTTGAATTTTATTAAAGCTTGCTCAGCTTGGCAGTGGACCCCAAATACAGGAGAAGACAGATACTTATACATTAAAAATAAACAATTAGTAGGATATAAACCAGGATACAAGATTAGGTAATCTTAGTTCTAACTGGAGGAAAAATTAGGGGCTTTCTGAGTTGGGAGGGGGAATGAGTGAGTGTTGGGAGTGGGGGGAGAGCGGTCAGGTGCAGTTCCCTAAATCAGAAAAAGAGCTGCCCCCCATTTGCAAGTGCCTGTATTCATTCAGAAGAGAATGGAACAATAACTGATTGATTGATATGGGGCCAGTTTTCAGATAAGACATATGGGTTGATTGAGATGTGTAATTGTGAGAAAACTCCTTGGATCCATCTTTGGATCTGACTGGGTTTCTGGTCAGCATAACCTATGTCCTTAAAGGTCTCTAAGCAACAGGCAGGGATGGTCCAACGTTGCAGCCACGCAGGGCTAGGTTTAAACAATGCAATCAGGTTTTCTCTCAGTTCCCATAATTGAGAAAAGCTTTCTCACAAGACAAAAATTGAACTAGACCCATGATTGAATAGAAAAGGAACTGAGCTAGATCCAGAATTGAGTCACAAGATGGAGTCACTGTAGTTTATTCAATTCCTGTAATTCCATCACAGAAAGCTTGGAATATGATATTCCAGAAGGAAGAGTATGTGTAGACTTCTAGCCAAGATTAACTTACTTAGAAAAACTGAATATAATCATGGTGGGGGGTGGAGGGGAATGGACCTTATATGAAATATAGGATTTCCAAGTGTTCCTAATGAAAGACCAGAGCTAAGTAAAAACTTTGAAGTTCAAATACAGGAGTTAAGTGAAACATTGAAAGGTTGCACAAACAAATGATGATAAAAGACTAAACAAGGCTAAACCACTTACTTACCTTTAATACGGGGAAGTGATACTTGTATCCAACTCTGATCATCCTCAGGGTTCCTTATAGAGGGAGTCTGATTAGATAGAAGGCCTGAGAGTGGTTCTATTATGATTTAATGATCTTAAGACTGGAAGAAGCCGGGAGAGGAATAATACTGGCTGGGGAGGGAGGAGGAGGGTGGAAGCTAAAAGAAGATTAGAGGGCAGCTAGGTGGCACAGTGGATAAATCACCTGGCCTGGAGTCAGGAGGACCTGAGTTCAAATAAGGCCTCAGATCAGACACTTGACACTTAGTAGCTGTGTGACCCTGGGCAAGTCATTTAACCCCAATTGCCTTACCAAAACAAAGCAAAAAAAAGATTAAAAGAAGAAGAAGAAGAGAAGAAGGTTAGGAGAAATCTTCTTACAAAATTAGTGTACACAAATAGAGACAAGGAGAAAAAGGGAGCAGCTGATACAAACCTTGCTCTCATTTGAACTGTCCAAAGAAGAGAAGAAACACACATGCACATACACACACACACACACACACACACACACACACACAGAAATACGTTCCTCTCAACAAGGAAATAGGAAGGAAAGGGGAGAAAAGGAAATTAAGTAAAGGGAAAGATAGGTTAAGGGAAGTATTAGTACTAAACAAAACAAACTCAGCATTTCCTTAAGAAAAAAATTTTAGATTCATCTTAATAAAATTCAGTATTATATTTAGGTCTATATGTCTTTACATATGATTGCGTGTGGTCTCTGAGGTCGCTCCTAGTTCAAATTCTGTGATCTTATGATTTGGACTAGTAAGGACCAATAGTAAAAAATACTGCTTTTATTTAATATCCTTATGATAAGACTATTTTTCATAAGAAAGTAAAACACATTGTAGTTGGAGGAGAGAGGTGCTTTTAAACTTTTTGTTTATTAATATTGAAAATGCAAAACCTCTATCATGTCTACTTTTAGCATCTTTCATCCATATTTTTTCTTTGTAGTGATGATTCGTGAGGTGGTTGAAAATAGGTTGAAAATGTTTGAACAGCTCGGAGTTAAAGAGTCAAAGACTTTCCCTGATGAGAATGACAAACAGAAGAAAGAATCATTGGCAACAGGAGCTGAACAAGTCATAGACGATGTCAACCAACAGGATTCACAGCAGACAAATGGTTCCCTGGAGAAGAAGCCATCTGTAGAAGAGAAGCTGTCTGTAGAAAGGAAGTCATTTGCAGAAAGGAAGCAGTCTGTGGAAAAGGATTCCTTGGAGAAGAGTGCATCTGTAGAGAAGAAGAAATCAATAGAGGAAGTACCATCTGAGGAGACAGAGCCATGAAACCAAGTGACAGCCAGACCATCAGATAATCAGGTAATGATAACCTAGTGTTTCTCTACCCTTAAATTAGTAGAAGTTGTGTTCCATTAGGTCAGTGTCTTCTTATCTACTTATCTGTTATGAACTGGACAAATAAAATATAACAAAAGCATAGAACGAATCTAAAAACTAAATTGTGAACAAATATTTAATTAGCAAGTTTAAAGGTAGGAGGATATTGCAGGAATATCTAAGAGAAGTCTATTAGTGAATAATTTCTTAATCTAGAGATTTGTCTATTACCACCATCTGCAAATACTATGCTTTGCCTTTTCTCTATCCTTTTAATTTACAGTTTAATACTATTTTATTAGCTATAATTTATGTCAGCAAATCAATGCTGCTAGCATTTAGTTTCTCTTTTTTAAAAGGAGTACTTAATTCAGAAGTTTTTGTCGTAGAACTTTGCTTGAGTGAAAGTCACAATGGTTTCCCTAGTCTAAGGGTCTAAGCACTGTACCTAATTTCCATTAAAATTGAGTGGATTACGTCATTTTCAATATGCAGATATGTTTTGGGGGGTCCTAAGAGCCCCATCTGCAATGCTATATTTTTAAGCAATCTCTTTTTTAAATTAAATACTCCAGAAACAGAATTGTATGAACTATAATTTTCCCTAAAATGGGTCCTTCTAACTGATAAATGCAAAATAAAAAATCATTACTGGACATTTAATAGATACTTTATTATCTTGACATGGGTACATGGTGTGAAGTCAAATATATCAACATTTCCCACATTGTGGAATAAGGCATGGAAAATCAGTGAGTGAAATTCAACTTGTCAAGTTCATTCTTGCTACGTAGCATGATTTACTTCTACATGAGAACACATGGATGTGATATAGGAATCAGATGGGAATCCTGAGAGCTATTCGCCAAATGATGTTTGTGAGGTTTAAGGGAAGCAGTAACATGTGGGATCAGGGAATTCACCTTTGATTTTTCTTCTTTTGTCTTAACTTCTCTGGAGACTTTACCTCCAGAGACTACCTCCTATTAGAATATTTAACTTTAGACCAAATTAATTTTAAGAGATAGCTGAAATCTTCTGATAATTTCCGAATCTCCCAAAGAGTTGCTATAATGTGGAAGTGACTTGAGTGTCCTTGAACTTTCTTTTCTGGGAAATACTAATTTGCTTTATATATGTTTATAGATAGCCCTTTAATAAGCCTCATTTATCTGGTGATTTCAAAGCAGTATAAAAGCATCAACCGATTTATCTTCCCAATTCCTTTGTAACTGATTAATCAACAAGCATTTATGAAGCACTTACTATGTATTAGGCACTGCACAAGGAACTCAAAATACAAAGTAAAAAATAGTCTTTACCTTCAAGGAGCTTATGTTCTTATGAGGGAGGCAACATATGTAAATCAGAATATACAAGATAAATATGAAGTAGATGGAAGGTGACCTTAAGGAAGATGACACTAGCAACTAGAGGAGCCTGGAGGGCCCTCCTGGATGAAGTGGTGCATAAAGGAAGTCAGAAAGTGTGGAAGTTTGGGAAAGTGAGTATTCCAGGCATGGGGATCAACCAAAGCAAAGCCACGGAGACAGAAGATGGAATGTCGTGTGCAAGGAACGAGTGAGTAGGATACTACAGATGGTAGAGTACATGGAGGGCAGTAGAGTGTAGGGAGATCGAAGAGGTGGGAGGGGGCCAAGTTGTGAAGAGATTTAAATGCCAAACAAAAGGCAACAAATAAAAGAGGTAATAAGGAGCCATTGGAGTTTATGCAGTAGGGTGTGACATGGCTAGACCGATGCTTCAGGAAAATCACTTTGGCTCCTTGAATGGAAGATGGATTGGATTGGGAAGAAACTTGAGGCAGAAAAACCAATAAGGCTATTGTAATAGTTAAGGCAAGAGATGATGAGGGCTGTAACTAGGGGAGTGGCAGTGTGAGTAGAGAGAAGATACAATGTGGTAGAGAAAGATGTTATAATTTGGCAGCTGATTAGATATGTGGGTTGAATGAGGGAAAGGACCCCCAAGTGTAGCATCAAGTTTTTTAACCTGGATAACTAGAAAAATGGTAGTACCTTTGACAATTATAACAACAGGGAACTTTTTGTGAGGAAGGATGAATTATGTTAGACACGTTGCATTTGAGATGTCCAACAGGTAGTTAGTGATGTGAGACTAGAACTCAGTAGGAACAAGAATTATTAATCATACATACATACCCTTTGTTTCTTTTTACTGGAAATAGAAAAACTGAGATTTATAAAGAATTTATAAACAGCTGTTATGGAGTTCAAAACAGAACTGAGAATTAAAATCCAGGAACCATTACTGGAGTGGTTCTAATTGCTGACAGCAAACTCTTTGTTTATTCCAAAATTATCAGTACTCTGCACATAGGATTCACTTAGGTAAGAATTGGAGAAGTTTGTAATTGAAGGGAAATTAATGCTCACTTGTTAAAATAATCACTCATTACTGCTTTTTTAAAATTTTATAGTTTTCAACAATCACTTCCATAAGCTTTTGAGCTTTAAATTTTTCTCCCCCTCCTTGTCCACCTCCCTCCCCAAGATGGCATGCAATCTGATATAGGCTATTCATATACATTCCTATTAAACATTATTTTCACGTTAGCCATATTGTAAGGAAGAATTAGAACAAATAGGAGGAACCACAAGAAAGAGGAAACAAAAAAAAACCAAGAAAAAATGGCAAATAGTATGCTTCGATCTGCATTCAAACTCCATAGTTCTTTCTTTGGATGTGGACAGCATTTTCTATCCCGAGGCCTCTGGAGATGTCTTAGATCCTTATAATGCTGAGAAGGGTTCAGTTTAACAATATTAGTCATTGCATAATGTGGCTGTTATTGTGTACAAAGTCCTGTTGGTTCTGCTCACTTCACTCAGCATCAGACCATATAAGTCTTTCCAGGTTTTTCTGAAGTCAGCCTGCTCATCATTTCTTATAGCACAGTAGTATTCCATTATATTCATATACCACAGCTTGTTCAGCCATTCCCCAAATGATGGGCATCCCCTCAATTTCCAATTCTTTACCACCACAGAAATAGCTGCTATAAATATTTTTGTACATGTGGGTCCTTTCCCCATTTGTAGGATCTCTTTGGGATATAGCCCTAGAAGTGCTATTGCTGGGTCAGAGTATGCACATTTTTATAGTCCTTTGGGCACAGTTCCAAGTTGCTCTCCAGAATGGTTGGATCATTTCACAACTCCACCAATAATGCATTAGTGTTCCAATTTTCCTGCATCTTCTCCAGTATTTATCATTTTCCTGTTTTGTCGTGTTAGCCAATCTGATAGGTGTGATGTGGTACCTCAGAGTTATTTTGATTTGTATTTCTCTGATCAGTAGTGATTTAGAGCGTTTTTTCATATAACTAGAGATTGCTATCAGTATTCTTATACATTTTCCTCTTTCTTTGATCTCTTGAGGGAATAGACCTAGTAGTGATATCCATGGGTCAAAGGGTAGGCACAATTTAATAGCTTTTTGAGTATAGTTCCAAATTACTTTCTAGAACGGTTAGACCAGTTCATAGCTCCTCTGACAAGTAACTGTTTTCCCACAGCCCCTCCAGCATTTCTCATTTTCCTTTTTTGTTAGCTTTAGTCAATCTAATATGAAATGGTGCTTCTGAGTTGTTGGGGTTTTTTTATCTGCGTTTTCCTAATTAGTGATTTGGAGCATTGTTTCGTATGACTATCAATAGCTTGGATTTTTTACTCTTATAAATTTAACTCAGTTACCTAAATATCTTAGAAATGAGACCTTTATGAGAGAAACTTGCTGCAAAGATTTTCCCCCAATTTCCTGCTTCTCTTCTAATTTTAACTTCATTGGTTTTGTTTGTACAGCTTTTTCAGTTTATGTGATCAAAATTTACCGCTTTACCTCCCGTGAAGCTATCTCTTGATTAGTCATGAATGCCTCTCCTATCTATAGATCTGATAGGTAAATTCTTCCATGTTCCTCTAATTTGCCTATGATGTTATCCTGTATGTCTAAATCATGTACACATTTGGTACTTTTCTTTGGTAAATGGTTTGAGATGTTGGCCTATACCAAGACTCTGCTAGACTATTTTCCAGTTTTCCCAACAGTTTTTATGAATAATGAGTTCATGCTCCGGTAGCTGGGATCTTTTATTTTATCAAAAACTGGGGGGAGGAGGCAGAGGATGGAAGGGGAAGCTAGGTGTTGCAGTGGATAGAGCATCAGCCCTGGAGTTAGGAGGACCAGAGTTCAAATCCAACCTCGGGTACTTACTAGGTATGTTACCTTGGGCAAGTCAATTAACCTTGATTTCCTTAATTTAAAAAAACAAAACTGGGCTACTGTAGTTGTTTGCTTCCATATGTTGTGTACCTAATCTGTTCTGCTGATAAATCTCTTTATTTTTTACCAGTGCCAAATTATTTTGACAATTGCAGTTTTATAATATAGTTTAGGATCAGAAAGAGCCCCTTCCTTCTCTTTTTTTTTCATTGATTGTGCTCCAGCCCCTTATTTTAACTCTGTGTATATCTTTCTGTCTCAAGTGTGTTTCTTGTTGTGTTCTGGTTTCTTATCCCTTCTGTCTTCTTCCATTTTGTGGGTAAGTTCATACCATTTATATTCACAGTTATGACTGCCCTGTATCCTCTTCTCTTTATACTGTCTTTTTTTTTCATCTCTTTAAGAAATTGTTTTGCTTCTGACTAATCCTTCCTTTAATCTAGCCTCCTTCTTATGCCCACCTTTTTTTCCCCCCTTTACCCCTTTACCACATGTTTCCCATTTAGGTGAATTGTATTTCTTAACCCAACTCTGTATGGTTTTATATATGTATGTATATTCATATAAGAATAAAATGCAAGTGTTGCCCATTCCTCCGCTCCCATCTCCTTGTTATATAGATGTCTACTTCTTTCCCCCATTTATGTGAGATAATTTTCCCCATTCTTCCTCTCCCTTTCCCCTTCTCCCATTCTTGACTCTTGGATTTTACATTA